GGGCTGGCTGGCATGTGGTGCTGGGGGATTGAACTGTGGTCCCTGGGCTTTGCTAAGCTTGTTCTAAGTAGGTGCTTTAGACCACTGAGCCATCTCACCAGCCCCTAGACACCCCATCCTTAAGACCCAGTTACGCCTGGCCTTCAATTGGGACTGCAGACAAATCCTTTCCTTTTTCTGGCCTCAGTTTCCCCATCTAGAAGAAAGAAGGGGCCAGCTCCATAGCTGCCAGTCAGTGAATGTCCCGGTGTGCCAGGCTGTGTGCAGTCTCTGTGAATTGAGCCTCAGCAAGCCCAGGGGGAGGCAGAGAGACAGAGCACTGCCCGCTGTGAATGGGGCTCCTGGGGCTCCCCTGGGGCTCAGAGACCCCACGCCACTCCCCGTGTGTGTGCACATCTGTAAACAGGGATGGTGTGTGTGTCCGTTCTGGGGAGTTGTGACATTCAGTGAGTTTCTGGTACCAGTCCACAGGAAGTGCCCAGCAGCCTCTGGTATCGCCTGAGCCTCTGCACCCCAAAAGTTCCTTTTGGGGCTCTTCTGCCTGCAACTCAGCACCCTGTGAGGTCTGAGTCTGTGTGGGGTTGGGCGGGTGCCTGGGGAGCCACCAGGAACACAGGAGCAGGGTCTGTCACTCCTTGAGGCCCAGCTGTGGGTTCTGTGGCTGGGTCGTTCCCCTCTGTTGCCCTGCGGAGCATGCCCGGCCTCCAGTGAGGTGGCCAGCTGGTCTGAGGCTGGCTTGGTGGCTTCCTGCCCATGTGGCCTCGGTTTCTGAGGTTCTCGGCACTGGTGTCCCTCAGAGTCACCAGGGGCTGGTGAGAATGCAGGCTGTTGAGCTGGATCCAAGATGGGGCAGGAGGCGCTGCCAGCGCCCGGAGGTGCTAGTGGTGACCACAGTTTGGGAATGGGTAACCCCATCCGCTGGGCTTAGCAGGTGCTGGTATTGAAAGGATCATATGCAGGTCCTCTACCATCCCTGAGGCCAAGGGGAAGGGAACTAGCGCCCCTCCCATGGCCCCTTTCCTCCCCAGAAGGTACGTGAATTGACACCCACAGACATTTTCCTGGGCATCCACCACACACCAGGCCCCATTCCACATACTGGGGACACTCCCATGTATCCAGCCGAATGGATTTTCATCCTCCTGGGCCTCGAAGTCCAGAGGAGAGAGATGGACACATGTCCTGCTGTCCCTGTGGTCCTGAAGGCCCCACCCAATCTGTGCCTGTGACCCTCCAACACTCTTCCTTGTTCACCCAGCTCCGGCCACCCTGGCTTCCTGCCAGGCATGCTGCTGCCTCAGGGCCTTTGCACTGCTGCTGGGAGCATTCTGCCCTAGCCGCCCTCAGATGCACGCTCGCTCCTTCCCACCCTGAAGTCTTCACTCAGCCTTCTCAGTGGCCTCCCTACTTCCGGTCACACACACAGAGCTCTTGTCCTCGCTGTGACTGCTTTATCGCCTAGGGTGCCGTGTAGTCCTCTACTTTATTTCACGTATTGTTCCTCTCCCTCCAGTATTCTGTATGCTCCACAGGGCACGAGCTTTCTCCTCTGTTCTGTCTGGCAGTGAACTTGCCAGTTCACTGGCTGCCTAGTTACCTTGGAGCAGCAGAAGTGCTGTGGACAGGAGGGGAGCGGGGGGGAAGGCTGAGAGTGGAGGGAAGTGGCAAGTGACAGGCCTGAAGGCAGACAGCTAACAGCCCCAGCCCCGTAGCTGTGGGGGACCTGACAGGATCTACAAGAATGACCAAAGCCTGCAGCTGGCCTGGGGGGTCACAGATGTCACCGCTGTTTTATTCTGGGCTTGCAGGTGTGGGGCAGCAGAGGGCAGGAGGCAGGCCCGGGCCAAGGAGAGACCACTGTTCCTGACCCAGGGCCCAAGACCCCACAGCCCAGGAATGTCCCCTGAGCCAGGGGCCACACAGCCTGGCAGGAGGGAAGGGGTTAAACTCAGACCTCCCGGGTTCTCCTAATCAAGCCCAGGCCAGGCCAGGCCTGGGAGGGGAGGAAGCTGCCTCTGCCGGCCTGCTGGCCCCCTGCCAGCCCATTTCCCTGCCCAGCCACCGAGGGCTTTCATCGGCTCACAGGGGGCCGATTCACAGCGGACCACCCTGGGCCAGCACCCGCTTGCCACTTGGCGTGGCTGTTCTGAGTCCGGTGTAAATCTCCTGACAGGCCGCAGAGCGCTGGGCCAGATCCCCACCCGCGGCCACAGGGACAGTGGCGGCTGTGTCTGGGGCATGGCCTCCCCAGAAGTGGCATCAGATGGGCGAAGTCCTGGTCACTCGCTACACTATGCTCTGTGCTCATAGGCCTGCCCAGTACTGCGTCTCCCGTCTCTACCTCGTGCCCTTCCCCCCCGGGGGTCAGCTGCTCCGCTGGGCTCCTGCCAGGTGACCTGGCTGTCCTCCCTTGGAGGTCTGCAGAAGCATAGACCTTGTGCCAGCTGGCCGGGCTGCTGCAGGTCTGGATCTCATGGTGTGACCTTGACTGAGGGCCTCCCCTTTCCTGTCCCTACAAGGGGGCGAGGATAGCAGTATCTCAGAGCGTCATGGCCCTTGGAGATAACGCATGTGACCCGCCTGGCACAGTGCCCATCATGCCATAGACACTGCCAGAGTGATCACGTTCTGTCCAGAGGTGTGTGGTGGGGATCACAGAGCAGGGGTTGACCCTCATGGCCTCTTGGTTCTCCCAGGAGCACCAGGCACCTGGCACGTGGTGGGACCCATGCTGGCTGGACAGGGATAAAGAGGGATGCCCTAGAGACAGTAGTTGGGGAACCTCCGCCTGAAATAGGCAGTGTCACCCAGCCTGAAGGGCCTGTTCCTTCCCCCACCTTGACCCTCATCACATGCCCAGGGCTCTACTGTGCCACCAGATTTATTAAAGAGGAGCTGTTGTCTCAGAGCAGGGGGCCAAGCCAGAGGGGGACCCTGGGGCACCCACCATGAAGATGCAGGCCTGGATATGTTTCTCACACCCTCACCCTCAGAGCTTCATTTTTTTTTTCAAAGTTTTATTGATAAACAGCAATGAGACAGTTTCAAATCAAATTGGAAGTACAGTTTCAACAAATACTACACTGCATATATTCTTAGTGGTTAATTGCTGTACAAGATGTGGACTTGTGATCCTATTTACAAACACCATTAGAACAAATCATTCTATTCATTAAGAGAATGCAACTATATATCTATCCCAACCACTTTGAATACACAGATACAAAATGGACATTCATAGATATACCCCATTGTTTCTAAGTTCCGTTATTGAATATTATAGGTGTGTAAACTCAGCAAAATATTCTAAAAGAGTCCAGTAGCCCATAATAGCATTGGGTCTTCTGTTTAACTGGCAATATCAGAAATTATTGACCTGAGTCCCCCACAGCTCAACTTAACAGCATGGCTTTATTTCCTATATTTCGTCTTCATACTTTTCTACTGGATGGTTAAGACCAAGGTAAAGCAGGACCTATGCAACAAGAGTTGTAGCTTTTTGGTCTGAGAAGGTCAGTGAAATGCCCTCAGGATTTATCCTGAGATCCTGTACCTCAGATTGTAGAACCTTTGTCAGTGCAGCCATGTGGATGAGTCATGCCCATTGCTTGGCCAATGTGCTCTCTGTGAAAGCCTGAGAGAGTGTCTTCTCCCCATGTGATTCTCCTTAGGCACACTCTACGTCATCGATCACTTTCCTCTTTGGCCCCATAATCTTCTTGATCAGAAAATTTGGGACACTACCGAGGTACATGACGTTACAGTACAAGTTCTCATATGTCCTGAGTCTTAATTGACCTTAGAAGACTAGGGCCAAAATGTTGGCTTTCCTTGTAGCCCTCCTTTTTCAGAGCTTCATTTTGACGAACAAGACAGCCAGGGCCCAAAGGCAGTGAACGACCTGCCCAGGACCTGTAAGGGTGACTGGCTGAGCCCAGACTTGATCTTGGGGACATTGGGCTGTCAGGAGACACAGGCTGGGGTCTGCCCATCCCTAGGTGAGGGTGTTGGTCTCTAAGCAAAGCTGTGAGGAGGAGCCGTGTGTGGTACACACCTGCCTGCTGTCCAGCTCAGCCAGGATAGGGCCATTTTCCCAGGCATTGCCCACCCGTCCCCACCCCGTGGGTACTTGTGATCTGTCCCCAGCTCATCCATACATTTGGAGGTTAGACAGGGTGAGAATTGCTTGACAGATGTGGATGCTGAGTCACTGAGAAGGAGAGGGACTCCATGGGTCATAGCAAGGTGTGGCAGATCCTTATACTCTCGGCCTTGGGCTTCAGAGTGGGACAGGAGCCCCTGCTGGAGCCCACTGACACCTGTCCTTGTCCTCTGCCCATCTGGTTTTCACACTCTGGGCCCTTTTCCCTGAGAGATGGGCTCTGGGGACAGCAGGTGGCCAGGTGCCCTCTGTGTGCCCTCAGCATGCCTGAGACCATCCTCAGGCCTCGGGGTCCTCCTCAGGTTCAGAGGCACACCTCTCAGGAAGAGGTCACAAGGGGAAGGCAAGCACTAGGGAAGGCTGCTCAGGTGCCGCCGTGAAAGAGCCGGCGAGCAGGGGCTGCAGTCTTCCATAGCAACTACTGGGGCTCCATGGCTGGGGGGCTCTTGGTCTGGGCCTCACAGGACAAGAGAGCATTCCTGGCAGAGACTGTCCTGAGCTGAGGCTTGAAATAGAGGGAAAGAATATTCTGGAAAGTGAGAACAGGAGCAGCGTGAGGTGTGGAGACGCAGCCCTGCCTTCTTTCCTGTGAGGTCCAGGGCTGGTCTGACCAGCAGCGAATTCTTAGTCTCAAGTCAGGGACTTTGAGCAGGAGAGGGCCTGGGGAGGTGGAGGGCAAGCATTGCAGAGAGGAAACTGAGGCATTGAGGTGGGGGCCCGGGTGACTTGTGAACGGGGCCAGCCCCCGCCGCACTCTCAGTGCAGAAACTGAATGAAAGAGGCCTTTTCTGCGGCCCGTCTCCTCTCCCCAGGCACTGGCACTTCCGCTCTGTCCACTGCAGTGTGAGGCCAGCCCCGTGGTTTGGAGACTCTCTGGCGCTCCGGCCACACGGGGCTGCCTGGGCTCCCCTCTGCCCCTCCCAGGCAGTGGCTTCCGTGCTCCTCAGCCATGAGGAAGCATCCCCACGTGTGGGAACATGCCTCTCCTTGGGCTGTGGAGTGCTCGCTCTGGGCTGGCATCCCTGTTCATAGCCTAGGGCCAAGACCCCCTGAGCAGTGGGCTTGTCTTGCAGGCTCAGTAGTCCCATCTCAACAATTAGTGCAAAAAAGGAAAGTCAGAGAAGGAGCCCTGGAGCTGGGTATGAATCCTGCCCGCTGGCCTGGCTCTGTGTCCCAGGTGAGGCGTTCACCTTCTTGGCCTCGGCGTTCACCTTCTTGGCCTCGGCGTGCTGGCCCCTCATCCTGCCTCCCCGGGGCTCGAGCACCAGTGTGGATAAGAGGGCAGCATCCGCAGACCCTTTGGGTCCCAAAGCTTGGGGCAGGGAAGGGAGTGCAGCCAGAGGGAGGCCCCAGGCTGGCTGTGACCCTGCCCTCCTCCTGCTGCCTGCCAACTTGAATGTCTGTAAACTCTCTACAGGTTGTGACTCAGAAACAGGGGGCTTCATCCACCAGTGACAGTGACAGATCCTGAGGTTTTATACTAGCTCTGGCAGAGCCCCACTATCTCTCTTCAAGCTGTGGTTAACAAAGACACTCAGAACCCAAGCTCCCAAGCTGTTGCCAGGTCCCTCGGCTGTCCCTATGGTCACCTGGTAGGCCTGCCTGTCCAGGTGGCCCTAACTCACTGGCCCGAGCCTCCCCATACCACCTTGCCATGTCTAGAGGGCTCACCTGCCAGACAACCTCTTTTCCCCCAAGGCCTATTGGGGCTGAAGACTGAGCCTGGCCCAGGAAGTGCTAGTGACAGTGGCCGCCCCAAGACACACCCTGTCCACGTGCCCCAGCCGCCACCCCCACTCCTCACCTCCCCATGGTTGTCACACAGTTCCAGCACCAGCAGCGTCTCCATTCCATGCTTTTCCATTGGCTGCCTGGAGTCTGGGGCTGGGGGTCAGGGACCCAGTGTCCAGCCCTACCACAGAGCCCTGCCAGCTCCCAGCCAGGGCCTCATCGGAGAGGAACCTGGGTCCCTGGCTCATGATGACCTGCTAGGCCTTTGTGGCCCCCAGAAGCCCCTGCCCACTTCTGAAGCTCTCAGTGGTTACCTGAACTTGTGGCCAGATGAGGGGGCTTCAGATCCTAGGACCCTGGGCGTCCCCATTTTGAAAATCAGAAATGAGGTCCATCCTGAGGCTCCTGCCTGTGCCCTCCTTCCCACCGGTGCTCCTGGGTACCCTACACTTACCCAGTTCCCCAGAAATCACTTGTCCAGCCCTAGGAAGAACAGCAGAGTCTCACCTGCTTGTCTTCTCTGTCCAATTTTTAAAATCACAAGTTACAGACCCAAGGCCTCAAGCAGTCTTCGCCCTTTTACCGCTTCTCCACGCCTCTTCTCTGAAGAGGCTCACATCCAGGGAATTCCACCACCTTCCTGGCTGTGTGACCTCAGGCAAGCTCCATGCCTCTCAGGTTTGCCATTTTCTGGCTGGTCTGAGAGGGCCAGCTGCCTTCCTTGGGAGTAATGGGGGCAGGACTGGCAGGAGCGTGCCACCCTCCCCGGTGCCCTGGAGACCCCGAGCTTGAGGGCTGCTCCCAGGGCCACGAGAGGCCACTTGGGAGGAAGCTGATGTTCCCAGAGGAGAGGAACAGTGAGGCAAGCTGCACTCCCGGGGGATGAAAGCAGCCAGTGGCCCAGCCTCGTGCACTGCCCCAGGGACAGCCAGGGAGCTAGTGGCTGCCTACTTCAGAGGTAAAGAAAAGCCTGTCTAAAGGGTGTGCCACTCAGAGAGTGACAGGAGGACACGCCCAGGCCGAAAGCGTCCTGAAAGCTCCCCAGAGCCTCCTGTGTTTGCCAGGCTGGTCCCAGGGGCGACTTCTGGGAGGGAGCCTCGGAATGGCAGAGGGCTGGGCTGCTATGCTTTGGTGCTTGCAAATTTCATTCCTAAATGCTGCCTGTGGAGTGTAAAGTGATTAATTGAAAATAGCGCATGTGTGTGTGTATACCCACGCAAACATGAAACAGACGGACACTGGGGGACTCCCTGCAAGCTTGATGTCATTGTCAAGAGTGTCATCAGGCTGCAGGGGCAGGGGTGTGGCCACACTGACTCTGCCAGCACTCTGGGAGGGAGGCTGGGTGCCTTGGTGCAGGCCAGCAGAGGGGTGGAGGGCGATGCTGGCAGTGTACCCCAGTGTAGCGCCCCAAGCCGGTGCACAGTTCTAGTGAAGTCCCCTCTCTCTGAGGCCCAGGGGCTAGAGCAGCTGACAGGGCCTTCCCTGGACCATCTTGGGGGGTGGGAGGCACTGTACCCTGGCTTCTCTCTCTGCCTCCCTCTGGAACTTGCTTAAGCCACTGTTCCTTTGCATGTAGCCTCAGTTTCCCTTTCTACCAAACTGCTATAGAGGGTTGGGTGACAGGCTTTGGTCTGAATCCTGAGCGCATATCTTTTTTTTTTTTTTTTTTTTTTTAGTAGTAGTACTTAGAATTGAACCTAAAGCCTTCACATTGAGCTATATCCTTGGCCTTTATTGGATTTTTTTTTTTTTTTTTT